GTGCGCGCCCCGCGCTCGCCATGGCGGCCGAGGCGGCGACGCGAGCGGCTCGGGGGACCCCAGGCAGGGGCCGGGCCGCGCCCTGAGCCGCCGCGGAACCTACCGCGCCGCGCGCCCCGGGCCATGCAGCCGCCGCCGCCGCTGTGGCCGCTGCTGTGGCTGCCGCTGCTGCTGTTCGGCGCCGCGGCGCCCCCGCCAGGTAAGGCGGGCCTGGGGTCCCCAAAGGCCGGAGGAAGGCGCCGCCCTGGTGGATGGGGTCCGCGGGGTGCCCCGATCGGGTGGGGGTCCGCGGGGTTGCGGGAGCGGACGGGGCCCGCGGGGAGCGATCCCGCAGCGGGCGTGGGGTGCGCGGCGGGGAATTCCGGCGGTCTCTGGTCTAGGAACTGGAGCACAGGAGGGAGCGGCGCGACGGCCTTCTCGCCTCCCGGGTCCCGGCCCCACGGACACCCCTCCCAGGCAGGGGACGCTCACAGTGCGTCTTCATGGAGCGGGACACACTGCCGCTCCTCGTACCCACCCCCCACCCGCGCCACCCGTGCGGGGAAACCGTGAGGCTCGAGTCTCCGACTTTTTCAAAATGAACAAAGAAAAATTCGAATCCAGGGCTTGGGAAGGGGCCGTCTCTGCTGGCCACAGATTGCTCACCCCGCCATCCTGAACTTGGCCCCTGCCTGGGTGCCCTGCCCCGTGGCTGAGCTAGAAGCTGGACTCGGTCCTGCAGCCTCGGGGCCGAGACCTCCGTCGTGGACACGTGACCGGACTCAACTCTTCCCTGGTTGGGGCATGTGTGATACTGGATATGAAATCCGGATAGTTCCCCAAATGATATACATGGGGACCAGCATTCGGGGCAGCACCCAGAAATGGCCGGGTCCCTTCAGTTGGTGGTGGTGGGGTGTCAGCTGACCCAGGCCTTTATCCCAGCTCTGTCCCCACCCAGACAGCCCCTTCCCCGGCTGCCTCCTTCTCACTTCGGCACCAACTGACCACACTTACGAGCCAAACAGAAAAACTAAGGCAAGAGGGGAAAAGTCCTCCATGAGGAAGATGTAGGTAGAAGTGCCTCTATGTTTCTGTTTGTGTTGTGCCGGGTTCTTTCCCGTGGACAGACTAGTACCATAGTTTGAATAGCACTTACATAGTCTCAAGAATTTAGAAGTTTCTTCCCATTTGAAGTAGTAGTAATGGGGTGTTGGGGATTTGTTCCTTTATGATTAGCGGTTTTTCCTTGGGAGTCAAATAAACGAGTTTGGATCCTGACTGTGCCTGCGGCTGGCCAGCTTCAAGTCTTGAGCAACCTATGTGTGCCCCTCCCTAGGCCTTCTTGGGGTGAGATTTGGTGATTGCCACATCTCAGGGCGGGCAGGTGGTAGGACTTCGGATCAGTGTGGCACTGACTAATGGTGGTCTGTGAACTGTTTGTAACTCACCTGCAGTGAGTTTAGACGTTGAGAGAAGTATTTGGAAACTTTACAATTTGACATCGCTACAGCATCCACCTTCATGTCCATCTTTCTAACGATTAACTTTTGTTGTATGATCCAAAAGTTTTGGTCTGCGTGATGCATTGAACATAAAACTAGATCGACAGATCCTTTGATGAGTAGTAGGGCTTTATACTAATCTCTATTTTTGCAGCTATTTGAAAAATTTCACGCTAAACAGTTAAAAAAAAAAAACCTAACTGGGTTATTTTTAAGATAAACTCTTTTTAAGTCAAAACACAAAGTGAAAATTTTTTTTTTAATTTTATCCTTTTTTCTTCCCCTCCCCCCAGCAGTGTCCAAAGTGAAGATATTAACAATGGTTATATGCTAAAGGGGTAGTAGAAAAGTTTCCACCTTTTCCATAATTTACAAGTGTTCTTCAGTAACCAGAAACTGTTCAGAAACTGCTTTTATGGTGGGGGGCGGGGAAGAGTATTGGAAACAGATTTTTAAAAAGGAGACTTAGAATATCCACCCCTTAGAGTAAGGAGAGCCTATGTGAAATATTGAACCAGACACAATTTGTAGCAATGCTTTGTTAAGTGTGGCCATTTGCTCTAGATAGAAAATGTAATCAACAACTCAAAAGTGCAGTGAGTGAACTGACTCTTTAGTTATTTAATTACCTGAGTATTGAAGAATTAAGGCTTCTATTTGTAATTGTAGCAGCTGCTGCTTACTTTTCCAGTAGATTGGATGTGTACTATGCCACGTCCAAAGCTTCTATGCTTAAAGACTACTAAGAAAGACAGTAAATCCCCGACAACATAAAAACCATTGCAAATCAAGGTGCAATAGGTAAACTCTTGTTTGTCCCTAATCACAGCAATTGAAACAATCATGTAGCTAGAATGCTGTTGGCTAACTTTATAAATGGTAATCATAGCTTCCCCTGTTGAGCCACTATTCTCTGTCAGAGAAGGTGCTAAGCACTTCATATACATTATCTTTCTTAATTTTCTCAGTCATTCTTTTGACGTAGGTAATATCCCCATTTTACTCCCAAGAAGGCAAAACCATTCTTTGTGGAAAGAGACAAAATGATCTAGATAAATAACTTGATGTCTAGCGTTCCCTGAAGAGAACAACTTCCTGGTTATGGCTAAGGAATCAGGAAATGTGTTTTTACTTCTCATCGCAGGGTGTTGGAGGTGGGATGGTTGATGCTTGTCTGATTGGTTTTCATCATACTGTCCCCCACACAGAAAGATCCTGAAGGGTCAGTCCTCAGTTGTCTAGATTAAATGATTAATTTAATGTTAATTTGATTTGATTTGATTACCTATGTGTGATGTGTGTTAACCAGACTATGCCGTTAAGACATAGTATATCTGATTCTTAAATATGTGTAAAGTCTTAAATACCTGGATCAGGGTGGATCAGAGGTGACAGGCAGGTTGGCGCAAGAAGACAGTGTTTGTTCACCTTTCACTTCAACTAGTAGTTGTTAAATGCTACGAGTGTTAGGCACTGAGCATATAAAAATGATTAAGACAATCAATGTAGAAAATAGGGACACTGTCGGAAGAACAAATACAGTAATTGCATTACAGTATGTGCTTCAATAGATACACATACACTATGTGCTATAATAAAAAGTACTATAACACAAATATGAAAAAACTTATGTAACACTACTTGCTGGGAAGAGTTGAGGAAAGTTTGATAAAGGAAGAACAAACTGAGCTGGGTTTTGAATCGTGAATAGGAGTTTGTCAGATTGAAAAAGAAGAAGAAATAAAAGACACAAAATTATGTAGATCCAGAAGAGAACAGGGTAGAGTTTAAGGCATTTTACAGAGTGATGATGATTAATCTGTTTGGCACAAGATCACGAAGGGTTTTTCAGCCTGTTGAGGTCTGAACTCTGACCTCTAAGCCAGGGATGGGCAAACTTTTTCTGTAAAGAACCAGGTAGTATACAAACAGATGGTATTCTAGAAGTTCGGTGAAATGAGAGATTTCTGAATTAGATATGGCATTTGGGACTCTGATACATACGTAGATTGATCAAATCATGTTTATATGTTAGAAAGTGTAGTTATTTCTCCTCTTGCTTTTT